AACGGTTCCCAGTTTTCTAGGAAGACCTTGACATGAAACTTTCCTAATAAAGCACAGGAAATGATCCTTGGGAAGATGGGCCATGCCACATTCCACTTTGGCTCTTTACACCCCAAAAAGTAGAGGCTGTTGAAGACAAGGAAGATGTTTCCATCCACTTGCTGCTTTTGGAAATTCACAGCAAGAGCCATGCTTGGGGCTGAGACTTTTTTTTTTTAATGGCCATAGCAGGATCAGATGTGACTGAAAGATTTAGTCTGTCTAATTCACTGTGGCTTGTTCAGATGCTCCTGAGAGGAGTGAGATGATATTTCTCGATCTCTCCCTCTCCCAGAACTCTACAATGAAACCATCAGAATCTTTATCACATACAATTCTATGAGAATCATTGAAGCATGACGTATGACTTCCTAAACCAGGTTAACTAGAAAACCAGGGCAACCATTTGGATGATACAAGTAAAATATAGGTATAGGATAGAGATATTTTTCCCTTGGCGCAAAACTAGTAGAGGGAGCAGGAAGACGCTGGCCACGGCACAGAGGACATTCTGACTGTGGGGGTGATTCAGTTTCATGAAAGGATTATTGGGTGCCAGTGGTGCTATGCGGTAGTATTAGTTGTGGAAGGTTAAGAGACAACTCTGGGGGAGGAAGTTGCTATAGAGAAGAGAACTCTATCCCAAAGGAAGAAGTACCCTGTCCTCATGTTGAAACTCTGAAATAAAACCCTATTTGACCCTGCTAGTGACATCATTGATACAGAGGTGCATACTCTACTAATGTTCCTGCCCAGTCCCTCTGGAGAAATGGCCCTGGATTTTCAATAATAAGGACAGTAGAGTGTGAATTCCAATAGGTTCTACTAAATTGGGAATCAGTAAAAAACATTTAGTAAGTGCTTACTATGTGCCAGGCATCATGCTAAATCTGGGAAAACAAAGATAATTACATAGTGTCTGCCCTCAAGGAGCTCCCATTCTAAGAGAGAAGACAACAGACAAGCAGCTATGCATATATGAGATATACACATGTAAGCAGAGGTAACCTCAGAGAAAAGACAGGTGGGGGAGGGGTGTATGGGAAAGGCCTCTTGCAGAAGATGGGAAAGTGTGATCAGGCCTAGTGAAGGCCTTCCCTTTCCCTATAAGTATTAGCCCAGTTGCATCAGCAGAGATTCAACGCCACAAGGTTAGACACCACATGATGATTTTGAAGTGTACAAAAACGTATGTAAATAGACTACTAAGGGGTACAGGTGCAGCCTATGGCAGTTGACACAGGGAGTTTTGTGACTCTGGAAATCATAGCTCCCTATTATTGAAATATCCGTGTAAAATAGAGTAGGCTAGAAGTTCACACGATCGGGGTTGTTTGCCGATATTAACCAGATTCTTTTTAATGTTGTCCATATATTCTTTACCGTATTGATTCCCCGACTGAGACCACATTGAACTTTTTGAGTTCCATTGAACAACGTCTCAGGGGACCGAAATCAATTGTTGGTGTTCTCCAGTGTAGGTTTAGAGTTCACAGCTTGGAAGATGAGGATTGGCTAACTGGCGCCATTTTAGAAATAGATGTGCTTGATCCATCTTACCTGGTCTACTTCCCCTGGTTTTCTTTCTTGTTCACTTGTAGACTAGAAGGCAGTATTACTGGGTGTAAACATCTGCCTAGTTAAATTTTCCTGGAGCTTGATCCCTAAATCCCTAGAGAAAGATTCAAACCTAGTTCTTAAGCTGATTTTGAAAGAAAAAGTAATAGCTGTCACTCAGGAGGCGGAGGTTGGAAATTTTAAAAGACGACAAAACACCTGAAATGTGATGATACCAAGTGGAAGCCGAGGAAGGGACTTTCAGTCAGGTCTGATTCTTCCTGATCCCATTTGGGGCTTTCTTGGAAAAGCGTCGCTTATCTTGTATAGATAAGGACGTTGAAGCAAACAGGGTGAGGTAGGTGAGTTGCCCAGGGTCACCCAGCTAGTAAGTGTCTTAGTCTGGATTTCAATTCAGGTCTTCCTGACTTCTGGTCTGGCCTTCTATTCACTGTACCTCCCAGCTGCCCTGTGAAGATATTGGTGTATATCTTATTGTATCTGCCACTTCACATACAAATCCAAGTCACGTCCTTCTTGTTTGTACTAATTTAAATGGGCATATTGGATTCTGAGCTTAGGAATTTCCTACATCGATTAAATTGCTATCAGTATCCATCCTCACCCCTTCTTTCCAATCTTAGAATACTATAAAGTTCACATTTCCCCACTGGGGACAGGGAAAGAATGGAGGGTGGGGTGATTTAATTTTTAAAGATGAAAATTCAACTGACAACAAATTATTGCCTATCAAATGAATTAATTGAATATATGTAATTACCCTTAAAAAGCTTACCTAGTTTGAAGACAAATTAAAAAAAAACTTTGAGAAAATAAGTCATTTTGACTATTTTAAATATCCAAATTAACTACAAAGTACCTATGAAGGAAGATGCTGTCTGCATCCAGAGAAAGAACTAGTAAATAGAAGTATGTATATTATGGTTCTACATACACACACACACACACACACACACACACACACACATATGTATATACATATACATACACATATTTGTGTTTAATGGTAGTCATCTCTAGGGTGGGGAGGAGGGAAGAAAAAAGAGGAAAAAGAAAGTTTCATTATAACTTCATTATATATTTAAAGCAACAGTAAGTTGTACATAATAGATTTGCAGTTTCATGTGCAATTTTTTTTCCTATTATGTTATGGAAATGCTTGTTTTACTTCTCAAGTTCAGAATAAAATGAATAATTTTTTTAAAAAAAGCTTGACTAGTGGGGCATGGTGACACATGCTTATAATCCCTACTACCAGAGAGAACAAGGTTGATGGATTGCTTGAGCTCAGGAGTTCTGAACTCTAGTAGGGTTAAGCATAATCAGGTGTCTGAACTAAGTCTAGCAAAAATATGGTAAGCTCCTAGGAGCAGGGGGCACCTGGCTGCTCAAGGAAAGGTAAACTGGCCCAAGGATAGAAATGGAGCAGGTCAGAATATCTATGCTGTTCAATAGTGGGATCTGGCCTGTGAGTGGCTACTCTCCTTTCAGCCTTGGTGGGATAGGGACACCCAATCTCAAAAAAGGAAAAAAAATATTAAAAAGAAATAATAACATTACAGTAAATGGTTATCACTTGGTGACAGCAACAAAACAAACATTTTATATTAAATGGAAATACTCTATATTGCATGATCATGCTAATATGACATTGTTTCTTTAACTATAGCATCACTTACCTTCTTGTTTTTGGTTTACGGTATGTCCCAGTGTTATGTGTCCCTGAAAATGTGTAAATAATGCATGTCTGTGCTATATGTTTAAATTATTTCTAATAAATAACTTCACTGTCCAGTGTTCTTTCAATAAGGGTACCTGATACTCGTATTTTAAAAACACAGATTTTGGCCAGTTAGAATGATGCACCTTAAGTAATAGGTCACTTATTTTAAAATTAATAAGTACACTTTTCCAGTAGCTAGATGAAAGGCTGATTTCTGAATATTCATTAGCACAGAGATTACTTAAAAAAACCCACTGACAGAAGCCAGGTCACTATTCTTAACAATATATTTACTAATTTTCCCTACTCCTAGCTCAGTTCAATTCAATATTAAACTCTACTCTATGCAAGAGACAATGGGGATGCCAATAAATGTTTACTTTTTCATGGATGCTTAGTGACAAATGAGACTGGCCTTTTCCATCATCAATAGGGTTTTGTGGTCTGTTAAATCATCATTTCTATTCCAAGCCTTGTATAAGGTTGCTTTTTCTCTTGGTCTTCAAGGAAGAAAGAATAGAGAAAGAGGAAGTAATGGAGAGAAGAAAGATAAAACTTAAATTTTAAAACAATTATATATTCAACAAAAAAGAGTGATACTGTTTACATAATAGGCCCTCAGAGTTGGAGAGATATTTCTCCAGTAGGTATTGTTCTGCGGGATCTGCAGTTTTAAGAATTTTCAGGTATTTCAGCATCACAAAATTGGAAGGGCCCCAAGCAGTCCTCAGTACAACCTAGCACTCTAGCCCATACTCCCAGGCTCTGTGTTCTTCATCTTCTTTAAACAATGAGAGAAGAGTAGGATGAAAGGAAGGATTTGTATTTTTAAAGGCCTTCCTAATATTTTTTTTTCTTGAGTATTAATAAAAATAAAAGAGAAAGGATACCCCTATTGTTGAAAAAATCTAGAAAAGGGAAAATTCTCTGCAGAAACACAGCTAAAAGATGTTGCCACCATGGCTTTCATTTGTTAGCCAGAACACATCAGAAGCCTTTGTCAATAAGTTAGAGTCTCTGAGGTTCATGATTTGAAAGAATGTCCTTAGCCTTGAAGGAGGGAGCAGGATAAAATAATTCTTCATTTTAAAGACAGAAAGTTGAACAGCTTTCCCCAACATTAGAATATAGGTGTCATATTTTCTCCTAAACTCTCAACGTATCTATCTGTAGAAAACTCCCTTTCTTTTTAGCTATGAGCTCCTACTCATAAACACTTTTGGCAACTCCTCTGTTAGTAATACATTCAGTGATTGCAGTGGATACATTTTCAGAGCAAATGAGCCAGATGGACAATTCATTAGTCTCCTTGTTTAAATCTTAGGGAGACAAGCAATATGGTGGAATGGAGGCAATGTTCCAATGTCCCGATGTGATATTCTTCATACCACAAAAAAAAAAAAACAAACATTCAATGATGTGTTAGGATGTGATTGTTTTTAGGTTTCATCCAATTCAATCATTTCTGCCCTGGGGTTCTTAAGAACCCAAGTCCATTAATTTCTAGGCATCATTCTGAAGAGCGCTAGCCACTTGAACATTGTCAGGAAGAGCATGGATGGTACCCATTATTGAAAGGTCATCTGTATTTGTACTAATACAGAGAATGCCAGTTTAGAAATGAGCCTGATTGCATGGTTCATTTTGTTCTCCTTTGTAGAGCCAGGCTGCGGCCCACTACAAAGGCACTAAACATGCCAAGAAGCTCAAAGCACTGGAAGCCATGAAAAAATAAACAGAAATCTGTACCTGCCAAGGACTGCGCAAAGACTACCTTCACCTCCATCACTACCAATGCCATCAATGCCAGCTCTGACAAAACAGGTTATGAGACGATCTTTGTTGTTGTCATTGTTACCGTTCTGGGGGTTTCGTTTTCCCATCTCCCTCCTCTGTTGGGTTATGTGTTTGCCATGCCAACGTCCCTCTGGAGCCATTTTTCTGTCTGGTGGTGAATTCCCTGCCCCGCTTTTTTTCTTTTCATTACCCATGATAGAGTCAGACAATTCCCAGGTGCATTGTGAATTTTCCATCTTTGAAAGGGATCTTGACTTTTGAGGGATTCAGTGCTTGTAAAGGATTTGATTCTAGGTCTCCTGTGATATTGATGAAAAGTTAAGTATTGTGTGGGACCCAGCATTTAGTTTGCAGTTTGGGAGCAACACCCAACTCTTTCTGATGACTGACGTGCAACTTGATTTCATGCTGAACTCTCTTCCACATTTTCCATCCTCCTTTTATAAAGGAACCTTCAACAAAGGCCTCATTAGGAGAATACTTGTACCAAATAAATATGCTTACTAAGACAAAAAAAATGGAGAGAGATCATTGGAGTAGAGGCTTGGGGGGCAGCTTTGGAGTTAGAAGGAGCAAGGGGTCAGTCTCTTGCATATACTAGCTGGATGATCCTGGATAAGCCACTCAGATGGGCCAGATAAAGACTGTAAATTACAAAGGAATTGTCTATCGGTATTGGCTCCCCACATTGATGAATGACAGGTCTCTATGGAAGAAGAAAATGACCAGGAACAGTAAGTAGTTTTAATCAAATTACTAACTGTAGAAGCCATTATGCTCTTTGCATGAAATACTGCCTTAGAGTTTTCTATTCACAATGGGGAAAATGCTAGCTTTGGGTCTCCCCATTCACAATGTCGAAGGGCTCTCCCTTAGACTCTAGGGTTTTTCAGTTACTTCAACTTTGTCCCAGCTGGTAATATTGAGGCATACTTAAGTCACAGTTTATAAGGCTTGGTGTCAAATAAACAAGATACTTTTCCCCTTTATAGGTAGACTAACAACTTTCTGTGGAAGGATAAGGTGGCCATGACTACTTGGGATTGACAGAATTTTTGCTGGAATGCAAGTCAATGGGTAGTCATTGTTCTCTACATACATCCACATACATATATACACACAATATCCTGTCCTTGAATCTATCTCTCAGGCAACATGTAACACATAGACTACAAGGAGGTCAGGGAATCTATTTTGGTTTCAAAATCCTCTACATGAGGGATGATGGATAGGATTAGATGAGATCTAAGGTCCATCCTTTTAGACTCTAAGACTAAAATTCTGTTCTCCCTGCTGGACCAAGGGGGGAAAATCCCTTCATAGCTTAAATTAAAAAAAAAATGTTCTCTGCCATTTAGGAAATAATTGGGTACAGTGAGCAATGCCAATGTTGAGCTTTCTATCTCATTTTAAAAGTTGAAAGCAGATGATTATTACAAGAACAGAAGACTAAACATGTATGGAGAGACATTAGTTAGTCTTGGGAATTCATGGCTAGCTCAGGTACCCAGATCCTATCCTAGTTTCTAAGGTATAACACTTCTGATTTTGTTATGCCCACTCTCAAGAGATCCCTCTGCAGCTGGAGAACAGAGATGCCCTTTGCCCACCTTGGGTTCTTAGGCAGAGACTAAAATGTTATTTGGACAAGAACCTGAGAAAGTAGGGATCTGGGACGATGAGTATAGTGAGTCATGGCCTAAAACTCCATCATCCAAAGGAATAGGGTAGGAGCTACCCACTAGAGAACTGAACGGAGTTACAGGAGCTAAAAAAGACTTAACATTTTAGAGGATTTAGTTAGAGGTCATTTTACAAATGAGGAAACTGAAGCCCAGGTTGTAATTCGTTCAAGGGCACACATACAGCAGTCAGCTGAATCAGGATTCAAACTTGGGTTTGGTTGTTCCAAATGTAATATTCTTCCTTATTTTATTACATTCCTCATTTAGGGGAGTAGGGAGCAGATAGACAATCTGAGGTTTTTCTTAAGATTCCAAGATACTTTAGACAGAGTCAGATGCTGAGATAAGGCTAGATATCTTGGGGGCTGGTTCTCCCAGTTTACAGATATGAGAAGATTTGGGATATGAAATAGGATCAATGCTGGGTTCTTAGGCTTGTAGTTGTCTTGATGGTTGTCCAGGCTGTTTACAATGAAGCTCATAAATAAGTGTAAAACAGAACAGTGGCTGGTCCATTCCTCCAACAAAGCAGCAAGCATAGATGAAATATATAATCTGAAGAGAAACAAGAAGGCTCTCCTCCTCTACATCAGTATTTTCATCCATGGCCCTCTCATACACCCAGATCCACATTCTCCTTGTCACCCGAGATTCCTGTGATTAGCATCGTCTTTTAAAATATAAATTCCTCTGAATGAGTCAAGCAGGGGCCATCTGTCATTCCTATCTAGATGCAATTTATTTTAATCTGATTTCTTTCCTCCTAACTGTAAAGATCAACTGGATTAAGGGTATGGAAATTTTGAGGAGAAAGGATAAGGAGAATGAATTCTGGACCATGAAGTGCTTTAGGGCAGAGATGTCAAACAAGCAAAACTCCTAAATGCTGCCAGGAACCATATTAAAATGTAGTTGGGAAATGTCTAACAAAATTGAAAAAAAATACAGTACAACATGGATAATGCATTGTGTCCTAACACACTGTGCAGCCAAACAGGATGTTTCTACCTGAGTTTGATACCACCATTTTATGGGGCTTAAAGAAGGAGAGACCCTCAAGGAGTTTACTTCATAGTTCTAGAACTGCAAGGGACTTCAAAGGTCATCTGGCCCAATGTCCCCTTTTTCTTGATGAGGAGGCTGCTTATTGCTTTAATGTAGTTTTATTTTCACACTTTGGGAGATAGTGGAGGATAGAAGGGCCTGCTGTGCTATGGTCCGTCAGGTCACAAAGATTTGGACACAACCGAACGACTGAACGATGACAATGTTTTACATTTGTTCAGTGATCTGTGTCCTTTTTGTAGGGGTATACTAAAACCGTTATTTTATCAGCATAGGAAACTTCCTCTCTCAGCAAAGATGGACCCCTGCTTTGCTACTGATAGACTCAGAGATTGGCCTGGGGCACTGTTAACTTACTTGCCTGTGTTCACGAAATTGGTATATGCCAAAATTTTCATTTGAACCCAGGTCTTCCTGGAGCAGAGACTCTCTCTTTATCTACTACACCATATTGCCTTATATAAATATTGTGTAGAATTCTGGTGTTTTCTATCTTAGATTCTGAGCTCCTATACGGCAAGGACTAGACCTAATTAACTCAAGGCTCAGTGGCCCAAAAAGGGTCTGAAGAATGTTAAAATCAATCAGGGCCTTAAGAGAAAAACCAGTTCAATATCTTCATTTTACTTATGAGTAAGTGGAAAGTAAAGGGGGACATCCAGGGCCACAAAGCAAATGAGTTGAAGAGACCTGTAGCAAGTTTCATTAATATCAGTTCAGTTTTTCCTGCTTCTAGGTGCTCATTACCTGTCTCAAGTTAAAACTGATTGGGAAAAAGAAGCAAATGGATGTTAATACAGTAGAAAGAAACATTTTTTAGTATGAAATAATAGGAAAATAAGATGTAGAGGATGAGAGATTATTTTTAATAAAGAAGCAGGATCGTTAGGGACTTCGGAACAATATATTATTTAAGGAAGGAAATGAAATAAATCTATCATAGATTGAAACCGAAAAAAATTCTGATAACAGTAAAAGAATTAAGTAACTTTTGAGAAATTGACTCAATTCTTAAATAAGAAATACTAATGAATGGTTCAGCCAACATAAGCCATATAAGGTTCCTGTATCTAATGAGGTAACTGATGTATAACATTTTGTAAACCTTAAAGTGCCATATAAATGTGGATAACGCTTTCCACCACAAGTCCTTTGTAATTGTCTTGGATCATTGTATTGCTGAGAAGAGCTAAGTCTTTCATAGCTGATCATCACACAATGTTGCTGTTCCTGTGTGCAGTGTTCTCTTGGCTCTGCTCACTTCACTCGGCATCAGTTCATGTAAGTCTTTCCAGGTTTTTTTTCCTGAAACCCATCTGCTCATCATTTCTTACAGCACATGAGTATTCTGTTACATTCATATACCACAGCTTGTTCAGCCATTCCCCAATTGATGGGCATCCCCTCAATTTCCAATTTTTTGCCACCACAAAAAGAGCTGATGTAAATCTTTTTGTTCATTTTTGTCCTTTCCTCATTTTTTTTATGATCTTCCTTGGATATGGACCTAGTATTTCCATTGCTGGATCAAAGGGTGTACACAGTTTGGTTGCTTTTTGGGCATAGTTCCAAATTGCTCTCCAGAATGGTTGGATCAGTTCACGATTCCACCAACAGTGCGTCAGTAAGACGAAGTGTTTGATAGCTGGTCTTACCCTGTTTCCAAAAACATGTACTTCACACAGAAGCTATTATAATTGTTATTGCCAATTTTTCTTCAGAAGAAAAGACATGATTCTCTCTACAAGGTTAAGGAACTGCTGTGGAGATTAATGTGTGGTCTGAAGTCAGAGGAAAGGAGGTCAGGTTCTCTTCAACCACTGATAAATCATGTACTGCAGCATTTAAATGGTGGATTGCATGGCATTCCCAGCATCCTGGGAAGAGCTATTCTATCCATTGTCTCCACTTTCTTTGCCCAATTCTTCCAAACCAAGTGTCATCTGGACAATAAACATATGGGGAAAAGGTCATGTAGCTGTTGTAGGAGTCGGGAGCACCCTTATGAAATCACTTCTCGCCAAATAGAATTTTCTTTTATCAAACCTGGCTTCTGAAATGTATCTGCATAATAGCAAAAGGAGGCAGGCATGTGCAATATTACTTTTAAGCCATTAGAAAAATCAGCATATAAGCAGAGTAGCTGTTAATGGAGCCCATGAAATTAGATGCTGCTTATTTAAAAGAGAGGAAGAGAAAAGGAGAGAAAGTTCCCTGCTGATAGTAAGTTTTGGAGAGCAGGTTGTGGCTAAACCTTATATGAAGATTGAGTATCCC